ATTCTAGAACATATTGTTAAAGGGACAGTTAGTGAACCTTCAGAGAAGGAAGTGGTGATGATAAAGTCAGCATCTCTGCATCAAAAGCAGGTAAGGGTGCACTAACCTCATTTCCTTTTATGACAGGGTTACTAGACAGTCAGAGGTAGTGGATAGAGCTGGCCTCCAAGCCAGGAAGATTGTAATTAGGGCAAGAAGGGATCTTCCAGGCCACTGAGTGCAACTCTTTCATTTTACAGATGGAGAAACTGAAGCTGAGAGGTGAAGTGACTTGTCCAGGGTCATATAGCTAACATCTGAGGCAAGAATTGAACTTGGGTCTTCCTGACTACAGTGCCAACACTGTAACCACTCTGCCACCTAGCAGCCTAAGATCTGCCTCTGCCAATGACTCTGTGACCCTGAGCAAATCACTTAACCTCTCAGTGTTCTAGGCATCTCGCTAAGACAGTATGTGGCAGAAAAGGTCCCAACTTGCACAAGAAGAGGGACTTTCCTCACCTGAGAGTTCTATATGCCAATGAAATTACAAATCCAGTCCTTATCCCTTTCCTTCTAGATGGCAGATCACGGGGAAATGGCATATACAGACAGCTAGGTGGTGCCATAGTGCACAGAACACCGGACCTGGAATCAGGAAGACTCCTCTTTCTGAGCTCAGATCAGGATTTAGTCACTTACTAGCTGTGTGACCCTGGGCAAGTCAACAACAAATAGCAACAAACAAACAACAAAATGACAAATGATAACAAACAACAGTTTTTAGCAAAGCACTTGATAGTCATTCGTGCTATGTTTGTTGATGAGATGGGGGAATTTGAGGTAGACCATGGTACAGTTAAGTACAATCAGAACTGGTGGAATGGTCACAGCCGGAGAGTAATTAACAGTTCAATGTCAATTTAGAAGGATGCCTCTAGGGGAGTGTTCCAGGGATCGATGCTTGATTCTGGGCAGTCTACATTTTAATCAGTGACTTGGATAAAGGCATAGGATAAGGCCTACTAAATGCAGAGATGACCCCAGCTGGAAGGGATAGCAAGCACAATGGCTGACAGGATCCCAAAAGATTTTGACAAGGTAGAAGGTTTGGCAAAGTCCAGTGAGATGAAATGTCAGGGACAAGTGTCAGGTCTTAACACTTGGGTTAAAAAAAACAAAACAACTTCTTAAGTACAAGTTGGGGAGGTGTTACATTAATAGCAGTTCCTCTGTAAACGACCTGGGTGATCTAGTTAACCATAAGCTCAACAATGAGCCAGACAGTATGCTACTGCAACCAAACAAGCTAATGTGACCTTCACCTATACTGAGAGGTTGAGGATCTAGGCCTAGGGAGGTGATATTCCCACTGTCCTCAACTGTGACCAATTCATATCTGGAGTATTGTGTTCATTTCTGGGTGACATATTTTAAGGACATTGAAAACTGGTAGACAGTCTTCCTTCATCAGACCTTGCAGGGAGTATTACATTCGTGACATGATTTAAGGACATCGATAAGCTGGAGTATTTAGAAGAGAACTAACAAGACGATGACGGGACTGAAATCCACGCCACATGGGGATCTGTTGAACAGGACATGTCTAGGGAAAGAGAAGACTGGGGTGGGGTGGGGTGGGGGGGACCAGAACTGCTGTGTTGAAGGATCTGACTCTCTTGTAGAGGGGTTAGGCTTAGTCTGTTTGACCCCAGAAGGTAAAACCAGAAGCAATGGGTAGAAGTTGCAGAGGCAACTTTCGGCTTGACATCAGGGAAGACTTCCTAACAACGGGCGCTGTCTAAAACTGGAATGGATTCTTTAGAGAGGTGGCGGCTTCCTCCCTCCTTGGAGGTCTTCAAGCAGAGGGTCTTTGTGGGGATTCCTTTTGTGTATGGGTCGAACTAGATGGCCACCGAGGTCCTTCCAGCTCTCAAATTAAGTGATTCTGTGATGGAAACCAGGACGACGAAGGGCTGTCAGAGGTTTCTCAACTGGAGTCTGAGACTTTTTTCTTTTAATGCATTCAAAACCATTACTCTGAAGAGTCCATAGGCTTCAGCAGCCTGCCAAAGAAAGTGTTAAAAAAAAAACCCCTGCTTATAGGCTTGCTGTGTTTGGTCTCTGAGGTGGTCGTTGTCAAACCCAAATGAGATCGAATGCTATTAAGAGACATACAGTGTCGTTTGAGGAGCAATAGCCTTGGGCCTCAGAGATCCAGGTCCTGTGCCACCTACTAGTGCTATGGTCTGGAGGAATTCCTCCCTTCTTTCATTCTGTTTCCTCCTCTGAAAAGTGATATTAGAGTTGGATTAAATGATCTCGAAGCTTCCTTCCAGTTTCAATTCGCTCTTGTTCTAATACTCTTAGTTCTGTGTATAAAGTTATCATAAAAAAATCTATCATGGTCACCTTGTAGACACAGAGTTAAAACTGGATTGGGGCTTGTCATTTAATCAGGAAACCCCCAAGAACCTTCTCCTAGAATGGAGTTAACAAATATGCTGGTGCTCAGCCAGTCAGCAATATGAATGTTTCTTCCTCTGAATTTCTGGGAAAACTGAGAAGAGCAGGCCTGCCACATCATCAGTGTGCCTACACGAGCTGCTGCCACTGCTGCTGCTGGGTGTCATCACTGGCTGAAAGCACTCTTGAAGCTTCGGGTGTGGTTAGAGAGGTTGGGCTGCAATCATTCTGTCAGCACATTCACCCTGAGAAGAGGGAGGAGGGCACTAGGCTGGGGAGGAAACTTTGAGGTCTAACTCTACAGGAAAGCCCAGAGGGGTGAGCTCCATGGGTCACAAAATTATGGAAGGGCCAAGGAAGGAAGCAACTTTGTCCCCACACCCTACAATACTGAAACTAGGGGTTCTACTCTCCTTGAAAGTTTGAAAGTTATGAAAGTATAGGGCAAAATTTACTTTTCAAAAATAACTGGCACAGCATGCAAAGAGACCTTTAAAAAGGTTTCAATGTTCCTGGATGGTACACCCAGAATGGCTTTGTTAAAGGAGACAAAGATGTTTCCCTAAACACCAGAGTATGGTTTAAGTACATGACTCTTCCTAGTATGGAGGTAGCCTCAGATTCATTAACAAAATTTGAGCCCCAGCAGGTTTCTCAAGCTGGAATGGCACGGAGTATGGGTCTGCACCCAACTGGCTTAGTTCATTTTAGAGAAACTCATGAGCAGGGATTCCCCACCCCCCCATCTTCTTTTTATAACTTTTGGCAACTAATGAAGACGGGGTGGGACCAGTGTCAGTGGAGTGGGCTCACATAAATGAAATCCTGTGAGCTTCAAATTACAAAGATACAGACCCTCTCACCCTTTTCCCAAAGGTATCCCCTGTAGTGAGATCATGCATTCAAGTTTTAGCACAGCCAGATTTCTTAAAGCAGCAGGATTTAGTAAGCCTAGGAGAATGCTGCCCCCCTAGTTTTACAAACAAGGTACATCAAAGTTAACTTTATATACCCTCTCATTTGACCCTAACAATCCTGGGAGAGAGGTAGGTACTGCAGATATTATTTCCACTTTAGAGACTGAGAGTGACTTGGTTCAGTGTCAGAGATGGGATTTGAACTCAGGTCCCACCTGACACTAAGTCCAGTACTCCTTCCACTCACTATATCACTCTTCCTCTCTCTATGGCTGCCACACCAGATGGCTGGGTGACCCTGGACCGGCCCTCTGCAGACTGCTGTTAGAAAAAGGGAGCTTTGCTTAGATGGGTACTGAGGTACTCCTCGATCCTAGTCTTGAGATTCTAAGATGGGGACCTCAAACCAAAGGAGGCAGGACACTTCAGATTCAGGGGGACTCCAGCCTGTGGACCCCACCTTTAGCCCCCCCCAATCCCAAGACCACATTTTCATATGTTGTACAACACAGATTTATTCAAGGGAATGAAGAGTTTTCCAATAAATTATAATAATAAAAAGATACCAACGAGATAAAGGGGACCCACTAGCAGCTAAGACCCCTTGGGGAAAAACAAGACAAAAAAACTATTTTGGAGTAAGAGTCAAAACAATGAAAAAACAGTGAAAGAAACAACAAAGCCCCAAGGGCTGGAACCCTTTTCAACAACAGCAACAACAACAATAACAACAACAACAACAATAAATGCAAAGTTTCTCCCCATCTGCTGGATGTGGAATCCAACTTGGGAGGCAATAATGAATGAACACACGAGGTACTTAAGAAGTGGAGGCCAGAAGCCTGGAGCAGGCAGGCCAGAGCAGGGAAGGGACTTCTCACCTCTCACTTCCCCCTCCCCGCAACCCCCTACCTACAGATTGTCCAAAACCCTCAGCTCTGGTAACATGTCTTGGCCAGAGCTACAAACAGACTGAGGCAGAGAAACTACTTGGTACTTTGATCTTAAAATGAAGTAGGTATGGTGGCTACACACTTCCTAACTCTGAACAGCCAGTAGCCACACATCCTTGTTGACCCTTGAGATTCCAAGTTGACGATATAGCAGAAGGCTTGTCTGCAAAAAAATCCTTCCCTGCCCTTTGCCACAACCATGCCCTAATTCCTACAACCTCCTCAACTTTCAGGACCATTGGAAATAGGCAAGACCATATAATTTCAGTCTTCTGTTAGCCAACTAAGACAAAAGAAAAATTACCCTAGGACTAACAGATCTTTCAAATTGCTTGGCACCGCTAACGATTCTTACTTCCAAAGGGCTGAATCAGGTTGGCTTTCTCAGTCAGGTAAACTGACATTTCTTCCATGTCATAAAAATAATTCTCGAGAGACTGGAAAGCCATTCTTAGCATGGCTTCCAATGTCCCCCCATTAGGTATGCTAACGGAACAAGTACCCAAAGCACACACGGGATGAAAGGACTGTACGTCAAGCACCTCTAATTTCGTTTTTCAAGAGAAGGCAAGAATGAGTCACTTCGTATTGTGGCTCTCAAGGGGGTGGGGGTAGGAGTGGTTTTCAGGCATTTTGATTAATGGTTGGTAACCAACTTGCTTACTAATAAAGGTTAAGCAAAAAAAAAAAAGGGGGGGGGCGAATGACCTGCTGGTCTGTTTTCAATGAACAATTCAGAGAGATGTTAAAGGTGGGGAAATAAGGTGCTTTGTTGGCCCCAATGTTATCTTGATAAACTGTTGCCTCTTTGACCTAGTACTTAAAAAGGTGGTTGTGTGCTACACTGGAAGTCCCCCAAATACTGTCTACCCTGGTCCTAAACCCTCGAAGGAGGTGATTTCTTTGTAAGCAGGGGGATTCTGATTGCCCTTTGGTACGGAGGATGAATGCCAAGAGGTTCCTGAGGATTCGGAGGTCATCTCCAGTGATGAAGCTGGAGTTAACCCCAACACTTTCTATGGTGGTCTAAGTGCTGTTTGGGAAGAAAATGAGATTCCAAGGGTGGGAGTAAGTCCCAAGGACACCCAGAGCCAATTATTCCTCATACCTTTTCCCCCCAGACAGGACTTGCAAGACAGAGAAACGCCTTCACCCTCAAGGTAGCCAGGTTGCATTCATTTTGGTTGTGGGCCTTGAAGGCCAGTGGGACATTAGAACGAAGGTCCTCTCCCAGCAGTCACTAAGGTTCAGTTGCTGGGTAGGGTTCAAGAGAAGGGAAGATGGCCCTAGCCACTGTAGGCACATGAACAGACCGAGACCCAGAAATGCCACTGTAGTAAGAGTGCACAAATGCTGGCAGTGAGACAAGTAAGTCTCCCAGGAGCCTTACCCACCTGCCCTTCTCCAAAGTGATACTGCTGCTTGAGTGGGGGTGTGAGTGGGGCTGGGGGGCAAGAGAGCCAAATACGATTCAGATAAAAATCTGAATCCAGATACAAATCTCATCTAAAGCAAATAGTGCGTATCAGTCGAGAACGTTCACATCTCAGACCCCAAGACTAGGGTGCTAAGCAGAGACAAGACAGTCAGATTTAGGCAACAAACAGATTTGGAGAACACTGGAGTGTTAATACAGATTTCTCTGTCCCATAAAGATAAAGCACAGAACTACCAAAATGTGGAGACTTTGGCTTGGCAACATGTTGAGTCTGAAATTCTCTAATGGATAAGGACATCTAACTTGTGTTTTGGTGGGTGGAGGAGCTACTAGAAGGCTCCCCTAAGCACTGTAAACTGTAGATTTTCAATAGCCAGCAGCTACAAAGCTGTGCAACTCCCCTGGTGGCAAAAACTCCTTCAACTAATTCTTAATACTCAAAGCTAGTGATCCTCCAGGCTAGAATCTCAAGAAGGGGGTGGAGGATGCCAGATGAAGAGAGTTAGTCTTCATCACTGCTAAGCAGGAACCCCAGGAGGAACTGGATAGCATGTTGGCGGTCAGTTGGAGTCTGTCTTGACATCAGGTTGGGTGAAGGCCGTAACAGGAGACCGGAGAAGAGATTGGCTGGAGGGAAAGAAGAAGGAAAAAGGCAGACCTCCTTGTTAGACTTCACCTACACATGGACTCTAGAGGGGAGAATGAGGATGCAAAAGAAAATGACTTGGGCGCCCCAGTCCAATCAAATCAGAGAACAACTAGAAAAAACACACTCAGAACCACAACTGCAAAGAAACCTTACCAATCATGTTGACGCTGACATTGTTTGTTTTAGAGTGCTTTAAGAGTTCCCTAAGGAAAGACATCAGGTACCGGAAAACATTTCTGTGGCATCGTGGAAGATGTGAAATCACCTGTTTAAAAAAAAAAAAAAAGGCAGAAGAAGGAAGAAGGAAGTAGAGTGCTGCTGAAAAGCTCTTTATATCTCGAAATTTACAACACCCTCCACCCTTTCTTAATCTTGGTCACGACTCCCCACCACTTACTCCAGACAAACACCTGCCAGGTTATGACACACAAGGGAGGTGATGTTCCTGTTTGACTCCCATTCACATGGCAATCAAGCCATAAGATGCCATAAGATCACCACCTTTATCTGTATGCTCTGCCTCACCAGCACCTCAGTGTTAATCTACTTATTTCTGCCTTCCCTGTGTAAGTTAGCCACAGCATCAATTGGGCTAAATGGGTTTTCTTCACTGTCATTTGATACGGCTGACATAAAGTTGTCAGCCTTGGTTCCCAGTGGTCTATCTCAGACAAAGACAGGTATTCTCAACTGTTCCTCGATATTATTCTAGAATTAAGAACAAACACCAAAGGGAGAACACGGCTACCAACCACTCTAAATGGGATCCCAAAGACATAACTTCGTATAGCCAGCGCCATTGACTTCACCTTGGAATCCAAGGGTGGCTACCTCACTATATTTTCTGCAAACAAAAATGGGCTAATCATAAAAAGGCAGCAAAAAGAATAGAGAATGATACAATTTAAGTCCTAAGTCTTAAGGATCCAAAGTCTCAACTTCAATACCCCACCATGAAAAAACCAGACCTATACCCAAGCCATCACATGGCTGCTGACTTGATTTTGCCAAAGAGTTGTCCCTTAGGGTGGGCGATTCCAGCCTGATCGTCTCCTCAGACGAATGGAACTGACCTGTCGGGAGAGGCGGGGATCATGGGAATAGTCAAGGCATCTCTGATATAGCTCATAACAGATGACAGGCTCTGGCAGGGCTTCCAGAAAGATGAGAAGGGCTTCAGCCACAGAGTGATTGCTGCCAGCTGAACAAAGATGAGTCAAGGAGCAAATATCCTTACGACTATGATGGCAACAAATCGATGCTAGGTCGTGTGCCCCCTTTCGTCAGCTCTGGCAGGATTTGCTTTGTTACTCATGTAATACTGGTTGTCACTGAGGTTTCACATTTTATTGCCTCTGAAAACTCCTAGAAAATCAGGGCCCTTCAGATACAAGATGTGATCAGAAGCGGTAAAGGGGAATTCTGCTAGAGTTCAGGGTCAGTGGTTTTTAAGGTCTATGAGATCCCAATTACCATCTGGCCAAACTAACCATCGTTCTTTTCCATTCCTAGCAGGGACAAGATAGAGGCTGCATAGGTTGGTACATAGTGCTAGGCTTAGAGTCAAGAAGACCTGTGTTTAAGAACTGATTCTGATACTAGCTGTGTAATCTTGGGCAAATCATTCGCCCTCTTATCTAGGAAGCTTATGAGGCTTCTGTATGAAGCTCGCTTGTAACTTGCATTAGTGGAAGTAAATCCCACAATAAGAGTTCTCTATGCTGATAAAGTCTCAGATCCTTTGTGCATCAGGATCATAATGATAATGGACCTGCCTGGGCAGCCTTGTATTTTGGATAGAAGCTGGACTAGGGAGCTAAGAGGGGTTCAACTCTTAGCTCCAATATTTACTTAAGTGTGATCATAAATAATTCCCTGCAACCAAACCTCAGTTTTCTCATCCATATAATGGTTATAACATTTGCTCTACCTATTTTACAAGATTAGGTATAAAAGTATAATACATTATTATCTTATGGCTATGAATATTAACAGCCTGAAGGAGAGCAATGCCAATGCTGTGGGTCACATCTTCCATACCCATTCCAGTTCCCATTCACCAGCTGTCTCATTTCTTTTAGAACCAACCTAGTGTGATGAGAAATCAGGAGCTCCTCAATGGTTGTGAAGAGCCATGCCAAGGAAATGTCCAAGGTGGCTTTAACATAGGTGTTCAGTAAGAGAACGAAGATAGAACTACACAGATGAGAAGGAAGGCAAAAAAAAGGTGCTGGGGATTCACTGAGCTTTCTAAGCCTGTACTGAAAAGGATACGGACTGTCTCAGGAATGCTGGTATCCAGACAATCAATGATTTGCTGTAGTTCTTCCTGCATGCCAGGGGTCTGGAATAGGTCCTCCTATCAAAGAAGTCAAGAGTGAGGGGAAACAAACAAACCAAATCCCAGAAATCCTAGGATTACAGAGATTAGGCAGCAGCTGAAAACAGCAGTGAGGAACTAAAGGAGGGTGGCATTCGGATCAGCCACACAAATGGACAACACTGAGGTACATACTGCAAAAGTCTAACTGACTTTTCCTGAAATTTATTTATTTAGTTAGTTAGTTGCAAGGCAATTGGGGTTAAGTGCCTTGTCCAGAGTCACACAGCTAGTAAGTGTTATGTGTCCGAGGCTGGATTTGAACTCAGGTCCTCCTGACTCCAGGGCCAGTGCTCTATCCACTGTGCCACTTAGCTGCCCCTCTGAATTATCTTTAAAATCCATGTGATGAAGACTGGATTTCAACACAAGAAAATCATTTTCATTTTAGTCTGCAGAAGATTCTGAGAAAGAATAAGAAAAATGAATTCTCCCTAGGTCAGGTAGACAACTTGGAGCACTCGACTTGGGAAGAGGGGGCGAGATTATCAATAAAGCAGAATCATATATTATTCATGTTACTAAAGTGTGAAAAGATATTTTTACAATAATTTTTTCCCTTGGTCTGGTTTTGGCTCAAGAGATATCTTCTGCTGGAGATTCTGGGGTCAATCTAAAAGAAACATTACATAAAAGTCTTAAAGCTATCTGACTTCAATTTTGTGGGGCCTTTAAAGTATTACCCCCACATAAAAAGTAATATTCTTGAAACCGATTTTTGGGGATACAGAAGAGCCTGGAATTTAGAAAACCCCAATTCAAATCTCAGCTCTGCCATTCAACCTGCTGTGGGGTATTAGACAAATTACCTAGCCCCAATCTGGATCTCAGTCTTAAATGTAAACTGAGGAAAAGAGCAAACACCTTCCTAGCTCAGAGTAAAAACATGCGGCTTTAATGAAATCACATATATAAGATATTTTGAAATGTGACAACCAAAGAAATCATGTATATACAAAGACATTTTGAAAAGTGAAAACCATCCAAATTGAAGGTGTCCTAACTTCACATAGCACTCCCCTGCCTCCAAAGATGCCAGAACATCCTACTTACCTGCTGACAGCCATTCTTATATAAGTGATCTACTAAAAGCCAGATTTCTTTGGGAACCTGAAGGGGTCTCTCGCCGACGTTCCCCTCCAAAGGAGCCAATGGCAGAAGAGCGCTCTCCTAATTAGCAAGATGAAGAAGGAATGAAAGTCGACAGTAACATTAAAAGAGGCATCTAGGGTTGTTTACTTTAATCCCCTATGTTTGAGAGTGCCAATATGGCTTCCCTTTCATCTTTGACAATTCTTATTCAGCTCCCACCATAGATACATCCGGATGGAAGCACACGTGACTAAATTCCTCAGTAAGCTCCCTGCTCCACTTTTATTTTTTGCTAGGCAATGGAATTAAGTAACTTGCTCAGCGTCACAAGTGTCTTAGGCTGCATTTGAATTCAGGTCCTCCTGACTCCAAGGCTGGAGTGTTATCCACACCTCCACCTAGCTGCCCCTAAATGCCTTTTTTTTTCCGTTTGTTTTTGTGAGGCAATTGGGGTTAAGTGACTTGCCCAGCGTCACACAGCTAGTGTCAAGTGTCTGAGGCTGGATTTGAACTCAGGTCCTACTGATTCTAGGGCTGGTGCTCTATACACTGTACCACCTAGCTGCCCCGTCTGCCCCACTTTTTTTTTCTTTATTTTATTTTAGACAATTGGGGTTAAGTGACTTGCCCAGAGTCACACAGCTAGTAAGTGTCAAGTATTTGGTCTGAGGCCGAATTTGAACTCAGGTCCTCCTGACTTCAGGGCTAGTGCTCTATCCACTGCACCACCTAGCTGCCCCCCTGCCCCACTTTTAAAAAAATCTCCTACATATGTCTTTGGCACCACCATGCTGGAGTTTCTAATGTTTGTAAAGGCTTCTTTACGCACCATAGAGAAAATACTTCATAGAGCTATACCTCTGTGTCTCTGGGAGACCCATCTCTTTTAAGTTATAAGCCATTTCAGAATGATGGTACCAAGAACCAGGGCTCTATAGCTAGATCACAGAATGGACTATAGACCAGTGGGGGGTCTAACAGCAAATTATGTGATAAATGTCAATACTGTAAGAGCCTATATACTCCAAACATTGATGAATGCAAGCTCTGTCCATGGAGGGCTCATGAAAACCAGCCCCACTGTTGCCACTAATTTGGGTACAATTCTTTTGTGATCTTAAGCACAAACAGATGTGACAGGTACTATAACCTCACTAGACTTCAGTTCACAAATTGAAATGCTCCAGAACCAATTAACTACAGAGGCCTCCAAAGGGCATCTTCCTTACCTCCTGACTCTACATACATAGTGAATGCTAATTAGGCCAGGGGCAGAGGTAGAGTTTAGAACTAAGGGACCTTTTCTTCTTAATTTATTTTTTGGTTACATTTTAAGTTCCCAGTTATCTCCCTCCCTCCCTCCCCACCTCACACTAGAGAAGGACATCATTTGACACAGTATGTAAAACCATACCATGCACCCTTCTATTTATCAGTTCTTTCAATGGAGGTGGATGGCATCTTCCTTCCTAAGTCCTTTGTAGTTGATTTGAGTATTTATAATACTCAGAATAGCTTAGTTGTTCACAGTTATTCTTTGAACAATATTGCTGTTACTGTATACAACCTTCTGAGACCTAAGGTACTTAATCCTGTAAGCCTGTAGCAACGCTGAATAAGCCAATGAAGGAGCCAGGAGTGCAGGGAAAATTCTGGGATCTAAGGCCAGAAGCTTCTCTCTACGAAGACTCTGACTCTTGCTCTGCTTGCCTCTCCTTTTTGTAGGGTGCTTTGGGGGATAGGGATCAGGGTGGTCTTTGGGTAATGTAGAATGGGAAAGTAAAAAAAAAATCAAGGTGTTAGTAATAACTAAATCTAAATTTGAAAATTGCTGGAGAATAAAGGAAAAAAATTTTTTTAACTAATTTCATAGACTAGGAGAAATTTCTCAGTGGAAACCATTGTTAGGGTCATACATTTAGAGTTCTATGGGACCTTAGTGGTCATTTAATCCAATTCCCTCATTTTACAGATGAGGATAAGGCCTAGAGAAGTTAAGTGACATGCCCAAGCAAGTCAAGTCTGACTACAAATACAGCACTCTCTTGACCAGAGGTAGCTAGGTAGCTCAGTGGATAAAGCACTGGGCATGCAGTCAGGAAGACCTGAGTTCAAATCTGACCTCAGATACTTACTAGTTGTGTGACCCTGGGTGAGTCACTTCATTTCTGTCTTAATCCACTGGAGAAGGAAATGGCAAAGCACACTAGTATCTTTGCCAAGAAAACTCCACAGACAGTATTGGTGTGCTATGGTCCAAGGGGTCACAAAGAGTCAGACACGACTGAACAACAACCCTTTCCACTGTACAATATGGGAAGGAACTAGGCAACTGCTTGTATTTACTTTTCTTCTCTAAAATAGAATGTAGATAATCGATTCTAATGCATTTACTACTGATAAACAATGGAAGTTTTTAGGTATATTAATAATATTAGAGCATTGCTACAAACGTATAAGATGAAGAATTGAGTGGGCTATTAACAGGAGAGGGTCAGGGAATGGAGTTCTCTCAAATCCTAGTCATTTTAAAGTTTAGCAAATTGTCAGTAGGTTATCTATTCTAAACTACTTCCTTTTCTAAACTCACACATCATAATCCTAAAAGATACATTTGAGTATTTATGTCTTTGAAGTATCAGGAAAGACATATGCAGGCATGTTTACTTCTTTTAAAAAATGTTTTTAGGGGCAGCTAGGTGGCACAGTGGATAAAGCACTGGGCTTATAGTCAGGAAGACTCATCTTCCTGAGTTCAAATCCGGCCCCAGACATTTACTAGCTATGTGACTCTGGGCAGGTCATTTAATGCCTGTTTGCCTCAGTTTCCTCATCTGTAAAATAACCTGGAGAGGGAAATGGCAAACCATTCCAGTATCTTTTCCAAGAAAACTCCCAATGGGGTTACTCAGAGTCAGACACATGAAAAAACAACTGAGATGTATACATATACATGTGTAAATGTGCATATATATATGCATGTGTGTGCACGCATGTATGTATATGCACAGTCAGTCAAAAAGAAAGGTCAGCATAGTGGCCATGTGGGAGAATGCATGTCTCATTCTACACTTTCAATCAACCAATTCTCCACCAATAGGTGGGGGATATTCCCCACCCCCAATTTGTATACATTGTTTCTTTATTTTTTAGCATTCGTTTTTTTAAAAATTTGAGTTCCCAGTTCTTTCCCTCCCTCTTGCCTTTCCCCCCACCCATTGAGAAGGCAAGCAATTAGACATGTGAAGGTAGGACATGTTTACTTTTGAAATTTCCAAAATCTAATCTTAAACCTTATTTTAATTTCCAAAGGCAAAACAAATGTGCTGTGGCTCCTCTCTAGAGTGTGCAGTGCCACATAACAATAATAAAATCATCACTAGGGGTTTAAGACCCCAGCTTCAGGCTAGTGTCATGCTGGATGCTATTATTAAAAACTTTCAACAATTATCTTTCATTAGTTCCAGACTGAGTGAGACTCAGAGTCCTGCCTCTAAACAGGCTCTTACCATAGTTACTGAGCCACCTCTGGAAGCTCTCTAGCAATGGATGAAAATTTTGAGACCAAACCATGTAGCGTGTTGCAAGGATTTATCATTACTGCCAACCTAATTCAATCATAATAGTGATAGAAATCCATTTTTTCTAGTTCTGCCCTCCAAGAAGAAGGAATACAACTGGCTGATCTTTCCCTCATTTTTTCATAAACCTTCAAAACACCAGAGTCCCATTTCATTTTTAAAAATCTGCATCTGGAACCCTCAAAGCCCTACTGCTCTTTGGCACTGGGGTCACAATGACTAGACTTGGGTAGTTAATGTCTTTCCTTTACTTTGGACACATTCAAGAGCAACGAGTTAACCTGGAGGGGAAAGCCCAAAGAACTGAGACCAGAGAAACTGGGAAGCCATCAATTGATTGCATTACCTTTTCTACGAAGCTGTCTTCTCCCTGAGAGCAGAGCAGGAAAAGAATGTTATTTACAGACAGAAAATGGTTAGAATTTGCAGAAATAGAAGCAGAATCAGTATTATGAGAACTAACCAGCTCTCCCAACAAATGTTTTAAAATAGCTCTGGACTGTTCAATAACTAGGGAACATGTAGCACAATCCCCTACACACACACACACACACACACACACACACACACACACACACAGAGGATGATTTTTTTTCCTATGTATGCTAGAGGAATCAGTCCCAGGGAAACTTACTCGGAGCAATTATTATGAAAAAAGTATTTTTTTTAATGGGGGGAAAAACCCATCAGCAATCCCTGACTTATCACCCCCATATATAAATGGCTACCTGGATATGTATGACCTTAACCAGTTGGCCCTAGGAACTTTCTTTCCCTCTTGCCTATTGAAGATCACATTTCTACCTATCCACTCTCACCTCACTGGAATGCTGGTCTGAGGTACATCTATAGTAGCAAGACCAAGGAGACAGTAAGATGGAAAGGAGAAAGGTAGAAAATCTCCCAACAAATCACTCCTCTTCCCCCAATACCTCACTACCACCATTGTTCCAGCTGGGCTTACCCACACAATCTCTTTGTCCTCCCTCTTTCCGGTGACCCAGTAGGCTTACTGACTTTGGGCATTTAATCTGACTTCAGTCCTTTAAGTACCCCAAGATCCACCATTCTCACTTATTTGTGCCTTTGCCTTTCTCTACAGGGCCTAAGTGAAAAAAGAGAAGGGAGGTAGGGGGCCAACAGAAAAAGGCATGAACCTTGTTCATCCCATTTCTTCTGTTGTAAAAACCCTTAGAAAATATCAAATGGGCTGTGGGGTTTTTTCAGGAACAGAAAAGTAGGGGAGAATATATGAGAACCACTCTATTTGCACTAGGCCAGAGAAGGAGAGAAACTGTAGTTGTAAGCAACAGGTGATAAAAGTGGAAAGAGAAGCGGGTAGATCAATCACTAGGAGTCTTGGAATAAGGAAGAAAGGGGATAACAGGGAACTCGCCCAGATTGAGAATTTTGTATCTGCCAAAGGTTCCTCCCAGATCTCTTATAGTTACCATTCCTAGCTTGGAGCTGGGAGAATCTTATTGCTTTGGCTCAACTGGTGAGGGAAGTGGGTTCTAAGCATCTCAAGTTGGAATTCCAGATGAATTTCCCCATAAAGACACTGTCTGACATGGAGGTTAGTTCTATAGCACCAGTACTAGCAGTACCAGTAAAACATTAGCCTTCCTTCAGGAACATCATTTTCTTATTTCATTTATTTATTTATTTATTTTTAGGCAATTGGGGTTAAGTGACTTGCCCACGGTCACACAGCTACTAAATGTTTGGTCTGAGGCTAGATTTGAACTCAGGTCCTCCTGACTTCAGGGCTGGTGCTCTATCCACTGAGCCACCTAGCTGCCCCTCAGGAACATCATTCAATATGCTTTTGAGGGCTGCCCTGGGAAACCAACCACTAGGCATGATAACAAAAGGAAAACCCGTTACATGTGACCGTCTCTCTACTCTCTCTCATGAGTCCATGACAAGCGTGAAGACACCTGCAACCAAAACCTGCCCAACAAGGGCCCAAGAACATTTTCATCAATGAATCAAGCCAATCAATATTGAACGCCTACTGTGTGTACCTATTGCATTAGGGAACTGGAAAGAAATATAAGAGATGTGCCCTGAGCTAAACGAACCTTAGCTAAGACACATAACATACACATTCTAGAACTGAGGACTAATGATACCAATCAGTAAGTGCCAACTGAGTGAAAAGGCAATATGTATGGCTATAAGACTTCTGACGACTAGAGATGAAAGGGACCTCAAAGGCCAACTAATCCCTCATCAGAGGAAACTGAGGCCCAGGCAGAAAAAGTAATATATGTTCAAGATCACAACAGGATCATAGTTCTAGAACCAGAAGAGACCTTGGAGGTCACCTAGTCCAACTCTGTCATTTTAAAAAGGGGGAAACTGAGGTGAAGAGAGGGGAAATGACTTGTCCAAAATCACATAGCTGGTAAGTAGTAGAGTAGGGATTTGAACTGATGGCCTCTGATTTACCCAGTCCTTTCAACACGTGGGGGCACTTCAGTGTCGATGGTAGTGTCTGAGCAGAGTCTTGAAAGAAGGGTAAGACTTTGAGAGAGAAAAAGGGGGTGGAGGTGGGCAGGCCATTTTAAGCAGGAGGAATGGCATGACCATGAGCAAAGGTGGTGAGGTAGAGACATACAAGGCAACATCCAGAGGTCACTGTGACTAGTTTCGTTGTAAACTGAGGTATGGGTAGGGGAGTAATGGGAGATTAGCCAGAAAAGGTAGGCTGGAGCTATAACACAGAGAGCCTATGATGCCAGATAAAGCCATCTGAATTCCATCCTGTGGGCAATGGGCAGCAGCCCAGGAACATTTTTAGCCAGAGGGTGATATGATTAAAGCAATGTTTTAGAAATATTAATTCAATGATGGGATACAGGCTGGATTAAAAAGAGGAAGAGGCCAGAAAGGAAGAAAACCAGTTGGGAAGCAAACTGTAAACAAAGGAAGTGTTAAATGAATGATCAGGGCGGTGAGAGAAAGGGCAAGAACTCTTAAATTCCTAGAACAAAACACCTACTCCTGTTACTTTTCATTTTTTTTATCTGTCTTGGCCTGGGGCTATAAAGAAGTGAGCTAGGAATGAAGAAGCCTAGGAAGAGGATTGATATGAGAAAGTCACATCAATGAATGAATGGAGACCTTGGTGACCATCTTGGGGAAGAGGGAGGGTGAGGATGGCAACTACTCTGTAAAAATCCCACATGTCTGGGAAGAGGCAAGAGAGTAGGGAAAAGTTCAATACTGGACTTAAACCTGAAAAGGGAAACAGCTACGTGACCAATCAACAGCCTACTCTGGGGTCCCTAAGGTGCCCAGTAGGGTCCCTTTCACTCAGCCAAGGAAGGGTAGGTCAGATTTGTTAAGGAAGGCCTAAGTGGTCACCACACAGCAGAAATGACACTCCCCAGCACAAAGCTGCCTGGCCTGTGGCCTGTGGCCTAGTAAAGAGCTGCTCCCCAGGACAGCTACAATGTCACTACACCTAACCATGAGATCACAGTCACATGGAGCATGGTTTTTTCAGTACTTGAAATCTCATACTTGAACAATATGAATCTGAATTCAAAATAAAAAAGCAAAAAAGCTATTGTAAATCAAAGCTCTCTAACTATACGCAGATGAAGTGGGGAATGAGAGCTCAGATGGGTCAAAGAAGGAGCAAATAGATACTGAAGGGACTTAGAGCTAAGTCCATCTAAGTGCTTTTTTATTCTTATTCCTTTCCTAAGGGACTCCCCTCTCTCCCCTAAATGGTTTCGCTACCTATCCTCAACCTTTTTTTTTTCTCTTTGGGTCATCCAAATGACCCAAATCCAATCCAATCCTTCCATCAGGTTCTAGTCATCTCATTTCCAATTTACGATAACATCTCCCCATGAGAAAGCCTGGCAGAGTGGGCTGAGAACTGCCCCTGGACTCAGAGACACCTAGGTTCCACGTCCTGTCTCTGACACATACTGGTTATGTGACTTTAGGGAAAGCACTTAACTTCCCGCTGCTCTAGGCAACTCTGAGAGAAGAAACATGCACTGGTAGAGGGAGTTTCCTCATCTGGGAGTTCTCTGAATCAATGAAACCACAGGTCCAGTTCTTATCCCTCTCCTCCTCATGAAATCCCTCATTTCTAGCCTCCCTCCATTTGTCAGTCAATCAAATTCCTGCTATTTGTCAGGCACTGTGCTAAGTGCTGGGCGATACAAACTGAAGCCAAACAAAAACAATCTACCCCAGTTCCTGCTCTAGTGAAGACTGTGGTCCGATGGGGGTGGGGGTGGGGGAAGAGACAGTTCTCCATGCTCTAGGCATACAAGTTGACCGTATTATATACTCTCCAAATCCTTCCAGGTGCCTCAAGGATCAAAGGCTAACTCCTGTTAGTGAACTTCAGGGCACTGCCAGAATCCACCCCTCTCCTCTATAAAGAGATCGATGAGTGACTGCATCCTCTCACCCTTGCTATCCATCCCAACTAGATAAACGTGGGGACTTCCTTTGCACTTTTCACTTCTTGATTCAAATTGCTCCCCTGCCTCTATGAGAAGGACCTCTCCTACAGTAAGTAATTCATACTCTTCAAGTCACTGGATTTGATTCAAAATTGAGTTCTTTCAGAAACTCTTCCCAATTTGGCCCAGAATCATTCTCCTCCGTACTGAATTTACCTGATTTCTTCATAATGTTATATATATGCACAATCTATCTATGTGTCATATCTATAATCTCAAGTTGCATGATTTTGAGATTAGCTCAGTAATCAAACAAGTTCAAACTCTCCAAGAAATTTTAAAAATCTATTATTAACCCCAAGCTGCAGAATTTCCTGCCACTGATTTTGTGAAACATGGATTTGCCAGAGCAGGATGACAAAGTGCCCAACATGTTTGACATAATTCAGGGAGTGTGGCTGGTGTTAGGATTAGGGGAATAAGCTCAATGCTAGCCACAAATCGGACTTTAATCATAATTCAGACCTTGCTACCCACGTATTAGCATCACTTGACTAAACTGCAGGCACTTCTACATAAACCACATTCTACAAAAACCAACATGGACCCCAGACATCATGTATCCTGGGGGTACTGAAGGAATGTATGAGGAGGAGGAAGATTTTTTGCTCTCTTCCATAAATGTTAAAAGAAATAGATTGTTTTTGTCTGAAAAAAATTAGAAGACACTTTCACTCATCTGTCTCTTCTTTTTTTGGCTAGGCAATCGGGATTAAGTGACTTGCCTGGGGTCACACAGCTAGTAAGTGTTGAATGTCTGAGGCCGGATTTGAACTCAGGTCCTCCTGACTCCAGGGATGGTGCTCTATCCACTGTGCCACCTAGCTGCCTCTTCTGTCTCTTCTAACTTTGGCCTTGCTAGGAATGGCTTAATCAATTAATCAATATTTATTTATTAAGCACCTGTTATAGGCCAGGCACTGTGCTAAGTGCTGGGGATACAAAAAGAGGCAAAAGACAGTCCCTGACCCTATGGAGCTGCCAGTGTAATGAAGGAGACAACATGCGAATAAATATGTACGAAGCAAGCTACATACAATGGCCTAAGTCACAGACACCATGAAAAGTGATTAAGAACAGGATGATGGGGAGAAGCAGAGGCTGAGGTCAGAACACAGACAACACTAGCCCCATGGAAAAAAGAGCTTTACTTTTTTTTGCATCCACATTTTGAAGTGAATGATACAGCACAGTATGCCAGCTTTTGATACTACTATCTCATAATATTTAACTACCTTCTTGTGGTTGGGAACATGAAAAATATTACGACCTAAAGGAAAAGGTTTCAGAAGGTCATAATCAAGTCAATTGACAGGACGGGAATGTCAGTATTAAAGACAGATCACAAGTAATCTTAGATTTGCTCTTTGCTGCCAAACATTAATCCGAATCACTTAGCACTGAAAAACAGCCCCTGCTAGGGGAGAATGCAGGAATTGAAGACTGTTGGAATATTACAAGCTGTCGAGTAAATGAGGATACCAAAGCCCACACATTGTAAGAAGGAAGACTAGCAGAAAGCAGGTTACAACTAAACATAGATTTTTTTCACCAGAATTCTATTTAAAAGAACACTCTTTCTAAGGACTGGGAGATCATTTAAGTGGAACATGCTTCAGCTTGCCCTTTCCCTTATAAACAAGGGCTGAATACCAACCAGGATGGAAGAAGCCTCTCTGCACAGCCAGCAGGTCCAGTGTTAGTCCCTTACATATGCCGACTTAACTCTAGGACCCAAAGGCATTTTACTGCTTGGTAATAGCAATGGCCTCTTTGTGGTGGCTAAGCTTCAGGGGAGAATTAGTGCTAATAGAGGAGTATACCAGTGTGGGGTGTTTTCCCAGCTTTTACCAATCAAGAATAAAGTTGGGAAAGTATCTTCATTAAATGGTATCATTGGCATTCCAAATGGTGAAGTATTAAATGTGAAAGACTGTGACATCGAGATGGAAAAAAACAGGTATCAGGAGAAATAATCAGAAACGTTGGGCTCTATCATTCTTTCAAACAGGATTAAAGAACCCTGTTGCAGCAGTAAGAAGGCTCTAGGGAAATAAATAAATTCCAAGGAAGCATGTAGGGATTGGACCGAAGGGTTTTAATCTATTTGAGTCACAGCTGAGACAACACTATGGCAACAGAACAGACTATCCACAGACAAGTCAGTTGCCCGCTGCCGCCCGCCTCTACCCACCTACCCTCTGCTGCCCACCTCTGCCCACCTACCAGCTACTGTTGCTGCTGCTCTACCCCTCCCTTAGCCAAGCCAATCATTTGCTACAGCTGGGCCAAATGGTTAAGCCTGAATGTTAATATCATGTTTGGCTATCATTTCACCTTATTTACTCTAGGTCAAGACCAAGAGTTCCCTTTTGGAGCCAGAAGAGGTATGTAGAAAAACCTAACACCATTTACATAGAGGAGAAAAGTTCCTTATTAAAGTCCTTATCAATTTTCTATTATCCAGGATAAGCACCACTTTCATAATCAGCCTTCCTCATGGTTCGGCTGGAAAAACAGAGAGTAACTTTCTTTTAAGCAGGCCACATATTCACTGATCCCTACTGCAGAAAAATACCCGGGTTCATTAAAGAGACAGTAGATGATAGCGAACAGAATAATAGGCTAAGGGTTAGGAAGACCTCATTTCTAGCCCTGGTTCTAACATGGACTTGCCAGGAGATGTTAACCATCTTACTGTGTCTATGCTGCAGCATCCTCACCTGCACAAATTTCTGCACTGGGACCACGGTTAGGCTGTGAATGAATACCTACCCTAGGAGGCTGTTGGGAGACTACCCACGATAACATAGGAGAAAGTGCTTTCTTTGAAAAGGGAAGGCTTAAATTTCATTCACTGGGGTTAGTATTGTCAAATCATACTCCAAGACCAGCACCAGCTACACATTATGACCTTTTATTTCCCTCTAGTCTATTGCTATTGAGGTCACCCTAGAGTAATAGGTTCTGTTATTAACCCAAGGCTGGAAGGGAGCAAAACCAGCCATCAAAGATCGATGCAAGATGACAGACACAGGGAAGTGAGATGTAAAGCACTGTAAATGTTCCTCTTCTTGGAACGGTCCTTACCAGGTCGATGAGTTTGGTAACAGGAACTTCTCGAATCGGTCTTTTCATTCGGCACAAAGCTTCCAAGGATGTGCCAAAGCAGCTTGGGAGGTAACTTCCACTGATGGTCAAGAAATAATCTTTGCCTCGGTCCAAGTGAAGAACAAGAATATCTTCAATCTTATCTTCCCCCGAATTCAGGATTGTCACTGAGTCTTTACTGACATAGACATCCAAGGAAATGTCGACTGTCTCACCTGAAATGAGGTAGACAGAACTTAGCTATGCAAACTTCCAGAGGAAAAGCAATAAGAATCCCCAACAGATAATTTTCAAAAGAAGAAATGTGAACTATTAACAACCACATGAAAAAAAAAATGCTCCAAATCACTAATAAGAACAACCCGGAGGTTTCACCTCATACCCAGACAATTGGCAGAGATAATAAAGAACTGAAACAATATACGACGGGTTGCAGAAACAGAGGCATATGAATATACTGCATGGGCCTTGGAATCAGTCCACTTGCTCTAGGAAAATGATTGGGAACTATCTTAGTAAATGCCATTGGGAACTATGTTATAAAAGTGGCTCAACTGTTCCAATCCTTTGATACTGCTACTGGGTATATGTATGCCAAGGAGGTCAAAGACAAGGTCCTAATATCAAAATATTCATAGAAGGGCTTTTTTGTGGTAACAAAAAAACTGGAAACAAAGGAGGCATACATTGACTGGGGAACAGTTGAAGAAATGTGGTACAGGAACATAAAGACACATTATCGTGCTCTAAGAAATTATGAATCAAGAAACACAGAGAAACAAAAAAGGATTTGCTCAACTAAAAGGAACTAGGAGAAAATACACAATGATCACAAGAATATAAAGGAAAACACTATTAAAAGATCAATCAGGGGCAGCTAGGTGGCACAGTGGATAGAGCACCGGCCCTGAAGTCAGGAGTACCTGAGTTCAAATCCGGCCTCAGACACATGACACTCACTAGCTGTGTGACTCTGGGCAAGTCACTTAACCCCAACTGCCTCAGTGGGCAAAGAAAAAAAAAGATCAATCAGACCAATGTTGATGTCAGAATATTCATATGTTCATGTCACTATAATTACCAATTCTTGGCATTAAAGGACTGATGATGAAACATACCACCTCTTCTCTCAGAAAAGAGGTGGTGGATTATAGGTACAGGAGAAGGCATATGCTATCAGACATGGTCAATGTGTTGCTTTGTTCAGCTTAACTGCCCTTCTCTGTTACAAGGAAGGGTTCTATTTTTAGGGAAGAGTTGAGGGGCATATATGGATGTGCTAGGAAATGATAGCAAAATAAATAAAATTAAAAGGAAAAGTAATAATAGGTAGAGGTTAGAAACACAAAACATAGCCACCGTGAACATGAAGAAAGTGAAATAAGAGCCATAGCTAGAAAAGACAAGGGAAAGAAATGCCCATCAGTCTTGAGGAGACAATGAGTGCCAAAGACAAGGGAAGGAACTCACTTGGTTCTAAGTAGCCTTCACAGGGCTCAGCCCGAAGCCAGGGCTTGCAGTACTGGCTGTCACTGAGCTTAGGGATGAAGGAAAAATGACATGGCACTTGGCCATTGTTGGTGACCTGGAATTTCTGCTTCTGCAGTTGACGGAATTTCACCTTCTCAAATACAAACTAGGGAATGAGAAAAAGGCGTAAATAATTCATGCCATCAGCAGGGGAAATGAAATTGGGCCAGCGGCTTCAGAGAGGTTCTAGATAATGGGCAACAGAGGTAAGCTTTGCTAAATATGTTGCTACCAGCTGGACTTCATAACTAAACCCAGACCATGCCCTCCCACATGCTTCCTCTGCTACCTGGCTCACTGTTATCTGGTGCTTACCCTATGATTGACTACCTAAATAGAGCTTGGGGGTGGGGGTGGGGGTGGGGGTGGGGGTGGGGGTGAGGTAAGGGCATGGAATAAAGGGGGCAGGTGTGCATGTTGGCCAGCATAACTAACTGGATGGTCCTTGTCACTGCTCTCTCCAGGCCACCATTCTCGGTGTCTCAATAGCCTGACCCTCACCAGGGTCACCTACCACTAGTGGCCCTGTGACCAAATCCAGCTTCTGGGTTTCTACTTAGAGTGCTAAGGCAAAGAGATCCCGAGAGTCTCTGAAAGGGAAGTAATCCCAGTTTCCTCTGGCTAGCCAATATATACGGCATGCAAAGAAGGCACATGATCCAACTCACTTCCCTCTTGCTGAGTTCTAATGAAGGAAGAAAATCATTTTCCATTCTATCCATGATGCGAACACTGTCCTCAAATACCTTCCTGTATCTTCTGTCATCCACAACCTTCACCTGAAAGAAAACAGGCCACTTTTCAGTGTCCTCCTCCTATACCTCATCGACTCCAAATCTTCAAACAATCCTGAAATGATCATTAAGGTAAGTACCTGGATGACACTGAGCCCTACAGATGTACACTTTAAGATGGCTGCCTTCCCGTGAATTAAAACCTCAAATGATCGAGAAAATGGATAATAATCAACTACTCGGGACAAAATTTTTCAAGTTGCTAAATTTTTCAGTGTAAGAAATATGACACATGGCAAAAGTGAGTTCTTGAATAAGCCAGAATGATACCAACTGGTACAAAATGTACTAGGTGCTGCTGTTATTATTATTGTTTATAATAACATCAATAATAAGTGATAATGCTAAGAGACAGGCAGGGCGGTACACTGGAATATTGAAGTGAGGACACCTGAGTTTGAGGTCTGACTCTGAATTCATACAAATTACTCAACCTCTCTGGGCCTCAGTTTTTTCATTTGTAAAATGGGAATAATTCAAGTTCTACTACCTACCTCACAGGGTTGTTGTGAGTCAAGTGTGCAAGTGTACCCTGTAAACCTGTGAGGAAAGCGTTTTGCAAACCTTAAAGAACTACAGAAATGTGAACTATTACAACGGCTGGACCAGGGGTGGGGAACCTACAGCTTTGAGGCCACATGTGGCCTTCTAGGTCCTCAGGTGAGGCCTTTTGACTGAGTCCAAGTTTTATAGAACAAATCCTTTTAAGGCCGCAGGTTCCCCACCCCTGGGTTAGACAATAGGGCAAATCATTAGAGGAAGCAAAGCAAGGGTCTTGGTGGATGAAGCCAAGAGGCATGATGTTATTCAGATTTTCAAAAATAGACCCTATAAATCGTACTAGAATATAGCCATGATGACAGACCAACAAATGGGGAAACATTCTCCCATCAGCTAAGGCTGGTAATGTAGTGTGGCTTATTGATATGGCTATTGTGTTCAATAACAACTTCACATTAACCAGTAGCCAAAAGAAGTCGGTGGCTTTGGTAGGTTCTCAAGCAAACATGCCAGTGGAAGAATAGTAAAATCATGGCAGCTACTTAAACGAGTAGGATGGTTTCCCATCCAAGTTGAGTACATAGAAGTGGATCTAGGTCAGTCAAAGTGGGCTACCCCAAACTCTGCATTGCTTCTCCCACTTTGGTACCTTGGCACAGGCTGGAACACTGTCTCTCTTCCTCTTGGCCTCTCAGAATCCCCTTTCAAGGTTCAGCTCAGGTAGTGTGCCTCCTACCCAAGGCCTTTCTTGCCCCCTCCCAGCCCCAAATATGACTTCAGTGTTTCCTTAGCTGTGTAGAGGCTATACCCTCAGTAGAATACAAGTTACTTGAGGGCAGACTGTTTGGTTTTTGTGCTAGCGCCTGCCATGTAGTAGGCTCTTAATAAAGGTTTATGAAATTGAATTTAAAAAGTAGTATTATCCATAGATATGTCTGATGTAGGAGAGATTTCAATTCCAACAAGACACCATTGTAATATGTTTCTTCACTAGGACCCATTGTGTAATAATCTATTAAGGCCAACTTCATTGAGCTCTAGGCTCAGGTCACAGCATTTCTGGAAGACCATTGAAGCTACTGAGGGGGTGCCATCTGGCATCAGTGGAGGGACTAAATCATGCATCTCTGAAGTACTGAAGAAGCATTTTAATCAGAGCACCTCATACTTTTTCCAATACATGTAACTGCTTTTTGTTCACAACAACTCTGCGAGGTAGCAAGGGCGAAGAATATTGCGCCTATTTTATAGATAAAGAAATAGCCACAAGAAAGGTTAAGGAATGTGCCTGAAAGCACATAGCTCCTTGGGCCTAGGACTGGGAGTTCTAGGAGTCCTTCCTAACAAACTAGAACTGCTTCGGGTTGGGGCTAGGAAGGCTTCAGTCCTTGGGTTCATTTTCTCTGGCCTGTAACAAGTTTGTGACTACTAATTATCTCTTGGGTATCCCTTCTTCTCTCTACTAAATGTCATTCATTTCAATAGCCATGAAGACGCATCATCTTGAGGTCTTCTGCACTAACAGTCTGACGGCTTTTCAGATGGAGATGTCACTCTGTGAAAGGGAAACCTTTTTTCTCCTTCAGTAGATCTCTGTGGTAGGAGGGATCAGAGCATTATTAAATTCAACATCCAGGTAGGGGAGAAAAAAAAAGAATTTCCTCACTAATTCCATTTTAGAAAAAGGAAAATATGGCAAAATACAGGTAGGTGTTAGGAAAGTAAGGTATTAGGGTGGAATTTTTGAAGTCAGTATCTCACAAGAGGCCAAGAGTCTATTTTAAAAACACCATATTAATAGGCCAACACACATTTCTATCAAAAGTATGAGGTATTAAAAAACAACCTTCCTCCACCCCTCCAAACAAAATCCCTCCCCAGGATGACTGACTGGCGGGGGAAAAGGTACTTCTCAAAAACTGGATAGTTAACAAAGTCAAGTTTGCAACGTTTGACAGGTGAGAAATTTGAAATTAGGACAAACAACTTGGAACACAGTAATGAGACGCTTTAAAAAGACCAAGGGGCAGAAGATTGGCTACTATTATACAAGGACATGAACACCACACAGGGTCAGATGAATGTTCTTCCAGCCCAGTGCTCCGTCTCTAACCAAGGGCACCGAGGGATGCCTTCAGGAGAACATGAGAATTAACACTCCCAAGGCTTTGTCTTCAGAAGATCAATGTTGCAATCAGGAGACCTAGGTCTGACTCCTAGCTCCAACACTTAATAGCTAAGGAAGTCAATCAATCTCTTGAGCCTCAATTTCCTCCTCTGTGAAATGGGAATAACAATCATACTTAATAATTATCTCCTTGAACTGTTGTGAGGAAAGTACGTAAACAGATGGTTACTGTAGACCAACTTCTCAGCTAGAGTTAATGATCATGGTATTGATCAAGAGATAAAAAAGAGTGAGCAGGGAGCAGGAAGCAGAAAGCCAGGGAGGGACCGTGGGCTGGGCAGGTGAGATATGTCTGTCTCCTTCTCAGTGTTTCTGCTCTTCCTTTTTCTTTGATGCAGCTTCCCCCCTGTCTTGCTTAGCCTGCGAAAGCCCATTTCAACTGACTGAAAGTACAACACTGAAAAATATTTTTAACTTTTATAACTGTTTTTAATTTGAAAAGCAGACGATTTGAGTCTTTTATAGTTTTCTCATCTAAGAAAAGAAACCTAACGTCCCCCCAAAGTGCTTTTTACTTAGAAAAGTTGGGGGACCTTAAAGCATTACAAAAATGATTCTTGTGTGCTGTCCACCATTATTTTCTGTATATCAAAAGGTGACAGAATGTCCTGAACCCCAAGCTAACTTGTAGGCAGTCACTTGGACACATTCTGTGCACCCAAGATGCCATACTTTGTAACGTCAAAATGCGGAGGGCTAGCATTCTCCTCCGAGGAGATGTCACTCCACCTTATCCCAAATCCTGATTCTGACCCAGGTTCAGATCCACCCAAGGTTCATTCTGTAAACTTGGTTTGGTACAGGACCCCTCACATACGCATATGTCTCCAAGTCACATCCGTGAACCTAGCCCAGTGCCAAACCAGCCTGCAAAGAAGATGGCAGGGGTGCAAGATCTTTGCCTAGCTACATTTCTTTGCATATTTTCCTCTAATATTAAGCTCAAATTTCCAAGGCAACATGGCTTGCATATAAGACCACCATTGTGTAGTAAAAAGGCCTCTGGATTAGGAGTCAGAAGACCTGAGTTTGTGCCCTGGCTTAACCACAGAGTGGTCATATGACCTTGGGCAAAGCACTTAACCTCCCTGAACCTCAAATTTCCTCATTTACTTACATATGTCCTGCCTACCTCATAGGACTGTGAAAATCAAATCAAATGGGATAATGTATGTGAAAGTACTTTATAAACTGTAAAGCACTATACAGAAGGTAGAAATATCATCTCCTTATCTCTGTGTGACCCATCCTGCTGGGGGCCTCTGTACCAGACCAGCTGGGCCTCCCAATGGGGCTTTGTCTCCGACCAGACCCATACCCTTGGGAGGGGTCTTGGCTAACTAGAAATGACCCATATGACAGAGGCAGGTTTCCCTGGCTGGCTGGCATGTTCCATGCCCTCTGGAGGTACTGAAATGTGAGAGTTTCTCACAGGCCTTTGAAAACTTCTAACTTCTGAATAGGAATTACAAAACATTGAGACTACTGGGGGGGGGAGGAGAGAAGGAGCCCTGTTTCAATGAAGTCACAAGGTCATAAGACTTAGAGCTAAAAGGGACCCTCGAGCTCATCGAATTCAGAGGTTCTTATTAGTGTGCTGGACCCCTTGGTCAGTCTGGTAAGACCCATGGACCCCTTCTCAGAATCATGTTTGTCAATGTATAAAACAAAATACACACGATTACAAAGGAAACCAGTTCTATTGAAATACGGTGATCAAAATCGTAAAGAAAACAACTTCAAAGACCCCAGATTAAGAATCTCTGACCTAGTTCAACCCTTAGCATTTTGCAGAACAGGAAACTGAGGCCCAGATAAGATTAATGATTTTTCTCAAGGTCAAACAGCTGAGTGGAGAAGTAGGATTTGATCCCTAGGCCTCCAACTAAAAATCTGCCCCTCCCCTTCTACCATACCACACCATGCTTCTTGCCAGGAGACCTAGACAACATTTATGAGGTCCACGTTAGAAGCACATTCATACCACTATGAAATGTATCTCCTTTTAACACTGCTGGCACATGTACTCCTCAGTCCTTAATTCTGAAATGGATTACTTAACTGGGAGCCCCATCTGTATTTGAGCAAATTATTTCCGATCCTGATTAGTGCTATATGAACAAAGGGAGACACTTCATAAATGTTTGGTGAAAAAAAAGTAATGAAATATGTGCTTACCCCAATGAGGAAGAGAGAACTGACGGGTTTGTGGTCACTGGTTTTAAGCTCCATGTGACTCCAGTAGCGGAGCTGATTAACGTTAGTCCCTCTCCAAAGGATTCGGTCACACCATGCTGGAGTACGACATTTCCCACTGCAAATAAAAGAATGAGTGTATCGACACCAGACTCGGTGAGCCCAATGTTCTATCCAGTCTGGCATCCCTTCTGCCTTGGGACACCAAGACAGGTGCTGTGGAAGGTCACAATAGTGACATACCCTCGAACACAACCCTAGCCCTCCCCGCTCGTGTACTATATTGGCAGCAGAAGGGAGCTGTCCATCCCAGACAACTAATCAAGCCTCAAACCTGTTTCCCTAGAAGGGGAAGCCTGGCCAACAACACCATTTTTAGTAACAGGGACTTACTTGCCCCTTAACTGTCTCCAAATGTGGGATATAAAACTGAGAAGTAAGTTTTCATAAAGTTATGACTTCTATCTTCTCATAATCGAATACAAACTTAGAGGTGTCAAACGTATGTAAGAACATGTAACTTTGCTCAAGGCGAAGGGCCAGGGAAGAAAAAGAGATGCAGTTCATCCATCTACTGAGAGTAGAGGGAAACCTTTGCCCAGGATGCTAAAGGTGGCTACAGACCATGTGTACAGAAACAACAAAGTGCAAAGACAAGATCTGTTGAAAGCACGTCAGGGGTTTGCGTCTGTGCAGCTCAATACTAGTGGCAGAATCATCACACCAATCTCTACTTTAAAAAGCCAAGCACGCCTAGGTGCCCACCCCATCACTTCTACCTGAGGATTCTGGGGTCAGCCAGACAGGAAATGGTGAACAACAAAGGCTTAGAAGGAAGAAGACAGGTGGCAGGAACCTGCCCTAGAGGTTCAATTCTTGAGGGATTAAAAAATGGGAGCCTCCTAAGGAAGGCTTCCATTGCTCTTTGATCACCTGAATGCCTCTCCCCTTCACTCTTCTGGGATCCTCACAGCTATCATTCCTTCCCCACTCTGATACCCACCCCAACCCTCAGAACAGGGATTCTCTATCAGAGAAGCAGTTTGAGAAAAATCCAGAAGGGCAGCAGGACTGCTGTTGGTGGTAGCAGATGAATAAGAAGGCAACAATTCTAAGCACATCTTTGGTGGTATTTAAATACGAGTAGGGACTAAGCAGGACTGGAGGAATGGATTCAGCTTTCCCAATGTCACCAACAGGAATAATGGTTTCTTCCTCACTTCTGCCCTTGAGGACATCTATTATTTAACACCAGGCCTTAAAAACCCAATTATGCCCCAACAAAAACTGCTCGGATATTATAATTTTTTTTTTTGAGCAAGGCAATTGGGGGTAAATGACTTGCCCAAAGTCACACAGCTAGTATGTGTCAAGTGTCTGAGGCCAGATTTGAACTCAGGACCTCCTGACTCCAGGGCCAGTGCTCTATCCACTGCACTACCTACCTATCCCCCTTTTCTTTTTTTTTTTAATTTTTTTTTATACATATATTCTTTTCACCACTGGCACTCTAGGGAGGTATTTAGCATATTTTAAAGGCGTATGTCATCATTATTCCAGGAGGTGGCTCCTGCTTTACCTGGAATCCCATCTGTCTGTTTTCGGGTCAAACTTGTAGGTGGGCATAAACTGAATTTCGCCTTCTGTAAAGTCAGCAAATGCTTTCTTGTGAGAACGTTGAATATTTAGCTAGAGATGGAAAGAAGCATTATCTTAGTATACACTATCACCAAGTTAATCACTACCCTCTCCTAGTTTTTAAGTACCCATTTCCACAGGCCCCAAAGCTCTCTGAAACAGAGACAATTAGTTTTCCATCTTTCGAATCAACAGCTCCCATCTCATTCCAGGCAAGAGGCTCATTAGTAGCATCCAGCCATCTTTCTGAGCTAATGGGGGTCAAGGATAAAATGGAAAAATTAAACCTCTGGCTTCCACCAATCATTTTTACCTCTAAGGACGAGGCTGAATTTCAAGCTCCCCCTCAATCAATTATTTTTACTATGGTGATATCCAAGTAGCAAAATTGATTAGTTTGAACTTTACTCTCTTTTCTTAGGAGAGCAAAATGACTAAAAGATGAACTAAGCAGCAGAAGAGAGAAAGAAAAGAAAGGGGGAGGACATGGATAATCAGTCCTAGAAATAACCGTAACACAAACGTGAAGGTAGAAGTTGACAAGGGAAGTCTATGCATGTACTTTTAAGGACAGGGATTCAGAGAATCAGAGAATGTTTTAAACTTACTGGATTACTAGAGAATTACTAGATTACTAGATACTAGAGAATGTTAAAAACTTACTAGATTAAGTAAGGGACTTAATCTAGCCCAATTCCCTCACTTTTATAGCTTTCTCTCCAACCCTCATATCTGTTCAATCAATCGCCATGTATTTTTTAAGATTTTACTATGTGCCTCTAAGCTGAGAACTCCCTCTCCTACGTTAGTGAAAAAATGTGATGCCATTCACTGACGGCTCCCTCTTCTCCCCTCCTCATCTCATGTCTCTCAGAAGTCTTCCCCCCAACTTCTCCTCCTTCACCCCTTATCATCCCCACTCTCTCACCTACCTCCAATCTCCCCGGCTTACTAGCCACTTCCCTCCTGCCGACAAACATGCCCATGTCTCCCCTCACTAGCCATCTGTCCATCGCTACTAGCTAGCATCCTCCATCTTACAATTCGTGCCTCTGCTTCCTCTTCCCTCATCCTCTTCTAAACTTTCTGTGGTCTGCCTTCTTATCTTATCATTCAACTGAAACTGCCTTCTCCAAAGTCACTGATGACCTTTTAATTGCCCAATCAAAGGGGTCTTTTTTCAGTCCTCATGCTTCTTGACCTCTCTGCCTGGCTCTGACAATGCCGACCACTCTCTTTTCTCTAGGTTTTCGAGACACTGCTTTTTCCTAGTTCTCCTCTTACCTGTCTGACTACTCCTCCTCAGTCTCCTTTATTGGATCTTCAGCTTGTGGGTATCCCAAAGGTCTGTCCTCAGTCCGTTTACATTCTCCCTCTAAACCTTCTTACTCAGTGTCTCATCAGTTCCCATGGATTCAATTATCATCTCTATGCAAATGATTCAGATCTATTTATATGGCCCTAACCTCTTTCCTGACTTCCAGTCTTTCGCCTCCAATTGCCTATTGGCCATCTCACACTGGATGTCCCATAAGTAAACTCAACATGTCTAAAACTGAACTCATTATCTTTTTCCCCAAATCCTCCCCCTCTTCTCAACTTTGATCTTCCAAATCACTCAAGTTGACCTAGATGCCACCTTTTTTTTTCTTTTTGGTGAGGCAATTGGGGTTAAGTGACTCGCCCAGGGTCACACAGCTAGTAAGTATCAAGTGTCTGAGGCCAGATTTGAACTCCGGTCCTCCTGACTACAAAGCTGGGGCTCTATCCACTGCACCACCTAGCTGCCCCAAGGTGCCATCTTTGACTCTCATATCTTCTTGGATCTTTCGCATCCAATCTGGTGCCAAGTCCTACCTTCCCAAGTCCTGTACCTCCACTCCACCCCTCCTTCTCTCCTCCGACACTACTACCACCCTTAGGGCAGGCCCTCATCACCTGGCTCCTGGACTATTCCCATCACTTTCCAGTTAGTATCCCTCCCTAGTCTGGACCATCCTCCACTTAGCTGCCAAAAGTGATCTTCCTAAAGCACGGGTCTGACCATGTCACCCTCCTACTTAATAAACCCCAGTGGCTCCCTATCACCTTCAAATAAAATCCTCTGCCTTTTCAATCCCTTTATAACTTGACCTCTTCCTACTTCTGCAGCCTTCTTATACCCCACTCCCTCTGCATATTCTATGATGCAGTGACAGTGGTCTCCTTTGCTTTTCCTCCAACAAGATAGTCCATCTTCTAACTCCATACCTTTTCACCGGCTGTCTCCCATGCCTGAAATACTCTCCCTCCCTTGTCTCTACTTCCTGCCTTTCCTGGCTTCCTTCAGCTCTCAGCCAAAATCTCACCTTCTACAGGAAGCTTTGCCCCACCCCCCTTAACTGTGCCTTCCCTGCTGTTGATTATCCCCAATTTATCTTCCATGGAGCTTGTTTGGACACAGGCATTTGCACTGTCTCCCCATTAGAATGTGAACTCCCTGACAAAAGGGACTGTTTCTGCTTTTCTTTGTAGCCCCAGTGCTTAGCATAGTGCCCGGCACATAGTAGGTGCTTAATAAACTCTTGGTGACTTTCTGAGCTCCAGGGATAAAAATACAAAGAATGAAATAATCCCTACTCATAATGAGCTTACATTCCTCATCAATTTCTAGGCACAACTCTGGCCTGACTTTCCTTCCTTTGAAGTCTCAATTCTGTTGATAACCGATTCAGTTCTACCCTGTCTTCTGCCCTTCAATACCTTAGCCCTGTGTACGAATGCTGCTCACACTTCCCTAAACCTCAAGCCTGATTACCAGCACCCCATTCACCTTCTCCACTCCTATTCAGGATCAGAAGTAATTCGCTCAAATACAAATGGGGCTCCCAGTCAAGGAATCAATTTCAGAATTAAGGACTGAGGAATAGATGTGCCAGAAGTGTTTTTGTTTTTTTGTTTTTTTGGTGAGGCAATCAGGGTTAAGTGACTTGCCCAGGGTCACACAGCTAGTAAGTGTCAAGTTTCTCTGGCCAGATTTGAACTCAGGTCCTCCTGACTCCAATGCTGGAGCTCTATCCACTGAGCCACGTAACGGCCCCCTGCCAGCAGTGTTAAAAGGAGATACATTTCACAGTGGTATGAATGTTCTCCTAACCTGGACCTCAGAAATGTTGTTTAGGTCCCCTGGGAAGCAGCATGGTGTGGTGTGGTAGAGAAGGAGCAGCAGTTTTCAGTCAGAGACCTAGGGATCAAATCCTACTTCTCCACTGAGCTGTTTGACCTTGAGAAAAATCATTACCCCTCTCTGGGCCTCAGTTTTCTATTCTGTAAAATTCTGATACACTACAAATTTAGGTTGTGATGCTGCAGTAGATGAAGCACCGGGCCTGCAGTCAGGAAGAACTGAGTTTAAATCTGGCCTCAGACACTTACTAGCTGGCATGACCCTAGGCAAGTCACTTAACCCTGTTTACCTCAATTTCCTCAGCTATAAAATGAGCTGGAGAAGAAAACGGCAAACCACCCTAGTATCACTGCCAAGAAAACTGCAAATGGGGTCACGGAGAGTTGGACACAACTGACATGATACTCTAACAACATCAACTGTGCTCTCACTGCTGCCCCTTCAATCTGTTTATTCTTCCCTCATTGACCTAGCCCCACAGTGGCTGTTCCAAACCTTCTCTTCTCTCCTCAAGCCTTTTAACACCACTGCACTCCAGCAAAAGACCTAAACTCCAATTTACTGAATAAAAACAAAAACAAAAACAGAGCCCATCTGTCATAAGTTCCATCTTCTTCATATACCTCAAAACCCCTCTAAACTGTCCCCCGTTCTCTCCTCCCTTCTTCCCATGGCTAAGGAAGAGGCAGCCCTTCTGCTCGCCAAGTCCACGGCTTCTACTTGTACCTTTGATCCTTTCCCCCTACTCATCTAGGACTTGCCCCCACCAATCATCTCCTCTTCCTCATTTTCAATTTTTCCTTATGAGCCAGCTCCTGCCCTATTATCTTCAAGCCTGCCAGGATCTCTCCCCATGCTTCAAAAACTTCATTTGACCTCTCTATCCCTCCTCAAGCTATCATCCCATCTATCTCCCCTCCCTTTCAAAGCCCAAATTCTAGAAACAGTTGCCTGCACTGCCTCATTTTCCAACACCTTGCTACCTGGCTTCTAACATCATCACTTTTAGTGGCCTCTCCTCCCTCATCACTTGCTTTCTTGACCTTTCTGGAGCATTTGACACTACTGATTACCCTCCCCAAATTTCGGTGACATTGTTCTTTCTTGGTTCTCCTCCTAATCTTCTGGTCCCTCAAGGCTTCATTCGGAGTCTTCCCTCTCTCTCAGAAATCTCACCGACTATGCTGACTACTCTCAAACTGACAGTTCCAGTCCTAATCTTTCCCCTGGACTCTATTCCTATGTCACCAACTGCCAGCTGGACATCTCCCTTGGGTGTCACATCAGTGGCACCTCAAAAGCAACATGTCCAAAATGGACATGTCATGATTTTCGCCCCTTGAACCCATCCCTTCTCCAAACATCCCCATTTCTGTTGAAGGCGCTACCATTCTCTCAGTCACCAGGTTTACGGCTTCAGCATAGTCCTTGACTTTTTTCTGTCCCTTACCTTCTTATCAAATCAGCTGCCAAATCTTTTCAATTCTATGCTCACAGCCACCACCTTAATTCGGGGTTCTTATCACTTCTGGACTATTACAACAGCATCCTAGCTGTTCTCTCTGCCTCAGGTCCTGCCCCCCCCCCCCCCCCCCCCCCCCCCCCCCCCCCCCCCCGCCCTGGCCACACCTGCTCCAGGCCATCCTCTACACAGCTGTCAAATTAATTTTCCTAAAGCAAAGGTTTCACTATGTTACACCCATGCACAGGAAACTTCAATGGCTCACTATTTCTCTAGGATAAAATACAAACTCCTCATATTAACATTCATTCCTCATGTGGCCCTTCACAATGTGGCTCCAGGCTCCCTTTCCAGACCTATTTCCTACATATTCCAGCTTTCAGTCAAACTAGCTTGCTTACTTTTCCCTAAACTTGGTGTTTCATCTCTTGCCTCTCTGTCTCTGCACAGTCTATCCCCCATGCCTGGAATGGACTGGTTCCTTAACTCTTAGAACCCTTAGTTCACCTCTGATAAGACAGAGCTATCTGCTTACATGGCAACTCCCCCCGTAAAATGGAAGTGCCTTGAGGACAGGGACTGGTTTTTGTTTTGGGATCCCTGGCACCTAGCACACATCGAGCCCTTAATAAACGTTTGCTGAATCAAATTAAGTGACATGCTCAAAGCTTCCCAACAAGCTAGGGCCAAGCTCGGCTCTGAAGCCAGGTATCCCGACTCCTAGGCTTATCTCTTCTCACAAAATCACACTGGAAAATTCCAACTGTGTGCCTTCTAAGGGAAAAGGGGTTAAATAAGCACTGAGATCGTATTTATATCGTATCTCCTATGTGCTAGGCACTGAGCTAAGCACTTTTTACAAAGATTATCTCACTGAGAAATCCTCAGGTCACATTTGGAACTCAAAGACAAATTTGTTGCCACTGAAAAAAAGAATAAATGTCAAACTTCCTCAAAACTGAGATCTATAGAAAAATTTCAAAATCAATTTCGAAGTCTTCACGTCTCTCCAGTGCTCCCACTCTTTACTGGCTTGCTCTCATTTCCCATAGCAGATCAGCCTCCATCATCTGGGCCTAGGCAAACTCTTCTTCTGTACTCCCCACCAGTCAGCACATTTGGCTCTTCCCTCAGCCTGCTAAATCATCATGGAACAGTCTTGCCTCCTCCCACAGTTCAACCACACCTCTCTCTCTCCTTTAAATCCGGGCTCAAGGCCTTCCTCTTCTAGAAGCTCTTCCCAATTAGCCCTCCTGGTCCTCTAGCCCATCACTTGTCTAAATTCTACTGTACTGTGCGTCTATTTTGGCTGCCCTACTAGAACAGAAACTCCTTGAGATGAGAGATGTTATCTAATCCTTAATGCAATGCATTCCCCAGCATCCGATGTGGGAGCATCGAGCTGGGGGTGGGGCCACAATCCATATGACTGGACACGCAGCTGTTTTCACAACGATTACACATACTCTTCCCAAGTCCAGGGCTCCCAGAACAGGCCCTCCACTCGCTTCCCCAGCTTGGAAAGCCACCAGGCCTTCTCCTCATTAGTCACTCTCTTCTCTTCCACCATCCTAAACCTGACCTCAGAGAATGGCTATGGAATGGTAATGGGGGCCATTTACTCACCTGGTCCAGCTTCAGGAGCTTCTGAAGTTCATTCCTATTAATAAGTGTTTTTACTTCACTGGCATCAGGCATGCAGAGTCTGTAGTTCAAATCTCCCAACCAGATGACAACACTGAGGGGAAAGACAAACATGAGAGCGAAACCAAGAATGAACAGCCAAGCTCAAGCAGAAGGCTGAGTACTCCTTGGCCAAAACAGCTCCCTAAGGGCACATAATGGAAGGAGGGGAGGCTGCTGATACTACGTAATTCATCTAGCATCTTCAGGCCCAAGCTAGAGAGGCCTGCCTTGCAAATTCCCACAGAGGGCAAAAATCCACACCCCACAAAGACAAAGAGCTACAAAATTACTGGGAAAGCAGGACCCTCCCTGCCATCCCTAGTTCCACTCCCATACACCACCACCCCCCTGTCCCCCTGCTTGAATCTGGTGGGGCAAAGAATCCAGGAGACGTGCAAGAGATTCAGAAGCCAAGGAGGAGTTAGAAGACTAAAAGCAAAATGTATTTCTGGGACCATTTCAGACTTTTGCCAGGCCCTCAGCAAAGGAAACTGGAAGTCTGCTACAAGCGTTTTCCCTGCAGCAGGATGAGCAGTGTCAGGGCTCTCCAGAGGTGGGGGCTCCTATTTCCAAGGCCCAATATAGCTCGAGGGCTGTGACTTTGCATTGCCATATTGTGCCTGGGTGTCCCACTCTTGGCATGGGAGATAGTAGTCTGCCATTCTATGTGGCTTCTGCCCTTCACAATAGGTCCCCAAATGTGCTGCTGTGATGGGAACCCCATGGGGCTCCTGAAAGTGTCTGCACATGAATGTGATAGAGGCACACTTCAAAGGGCATTCTCTCATCTATTCTCTGCCTCAAGTTCCACCTCCAAGTGGTTATTTAGGATAACCTCTAAGGTGGAAGGGACCTTTGTGATCATTTAGTCTTTATTTTAGAGCTGAGGCCCAGAGAGCCCAAGTAATTTGCCTACGGTCACACAGTATGAAGGGGTATTTTGCTGATTTAAACTGTGTCTTCAAATGGAGAAAATCCAGAAAAAAAATCAAAGGACTCTAAATTGTGAGGCTTTGGTCTTTACCAATTTGGAATTCAGTCTGAATTCCCATCATTGGCCCAGTGTGTATATGAGCAAATATAATCATTATTCTTACCTACCATTCTCCCAATCTCTTCATCTGATGTTGATCCTGATATTCCCAGATCTCTGTATCCTGGTTCATCTGATGGCTCAATGGGCTACTCAACTCACTTCATATCCCCTAATTACATTTCAGTCACACACAACCTTTCATCTCCTAATTGTTCTGCCACTGACAATCCACTCCCAGCTGACTTCTATTACTAACCTTCACCTATATATTAAGCCCTGAGCTATACTAACCATTCACATTCCCTTCCCCTTCACTCCCTACCCGACATCTTAAAAATCCTCCCTATTTACTTTCTTTCTTTCTTTTTTTAAAGGCAATTAGAGTTAAGTGACTTGCCCAGGGTCACACAGCTATTAAGTGTCAAGTGTTTGGTCTGAGGCTGGATTTGAACTCAGGTCCTCCTGACTTCAGGGCTGGTGCTCTATTCACTGTGCCACCTAGCTGCCCCCCATATTTACTTTCAAAATGATTGATTTCTATCCCTTTCAAATCCCCACCCCTAAGATTTCACTCAGTCTCTCCATTTCTGGAACAAAATCTCCCAATGATGCCTGCCAACAGACCTCTTCTGCATCCCTTTCTGAGGTCCCATGAATAATAAACACCTGCTCCCTTGCAACAATCCCGAAGCTCTGTAGAGTGCTGGGAATGGAGTCAGGGGCTCTGCGTTCAAATCCTGGCCCTTTCAGCTCTAGATCTATGATTCTATGACCTCTAAGGTCCTTCCCAGATCTAAGCCTATGATCCTAGGAGACGGTACTCCCCTCTCCTTCTGATCCATCTTGTCAAATGATATCACCTCATCCTTTACAGCAAGCTTTCCAATTGATCCCATCATGCTCCTAGGAGGCTAAAGAAGAGCTAGATACTCACTCATGCTTCATGATGTTTAGATGACCCTGATTTGGGACCAAGAAAGTCATTCGGGAACAGATGTCTTTATAATCCTGATTTCGACGTTCGAAGTCTTCCACGTGAGCAGCCAAATGGGAATTGACAATGCAAAATGTAGTATTGTGGAACAAAAACCTCACAGCAACAGCCCCTTTGTTACCCTGGTGGGAAGAGCAATTATTCACAATTATCACAAAAACCAAGAGAGCCAGGGCATTTCAGATAAATAGTTCATTTCCAACCTAAAACAACTTACCATTTTTCCCATGAGTCCCGTGCCCACAGTTTCTGTTACAACATCATGGAGGTATTTACATTGGTCCTTTTTGGCAAATATAAGTAGCATCATTCCAACCAGGCGGACTAACTGAACCTAAGAGATGAGTAGAAGGGAGTATTTAAAAGGTTAGCAGAAATAGTCATCATTAAGATTACTTGTAATAATGTAGAGCACTTTAAAGTCTACAAAGCACTCTCTTCTCACCAACTCTGCAAAGTAAGGCATACATATGTTTTCACTGGTCAGCCCTAGGATTTCATCAGTGTCAGGAAGGCCCCAGTAAGGAAATACCCTTCACCAATGCAGATCAGAAACCCATCTCAAACTTCTGGTCTTGGAGAGTTGTCTTGGGAACTGAGCAGTAAAGTCACTTGTCTGAGGTCACTTAACTTTATAGTATGTTAGAGGCAGGCCTTATACTAAGATCATGAGATTTAGAGCTGACCTTACAGCAGGCCCGCCTGAGAGCTAACCCCTGCATTTACGGATGAGGAGAGCCAAATGTTTCTGACTCCAAGGCTGGTTTTCTATATTTATCTCCATTTTACAGATGAGGAAACTAAAGGTCAGGAGTTAAAACCACTTGTCCTGGATAACTAATAAACAGCCAACTAATAAGTGCCCACACTAAAACTTAAAAATTATGACACCATACTGCCTCTTTCCAATATCTATAACATCTCATGGTCAATTTTACCAAGGAACTGATTCCTAAACCTGAATCCTAGAAACTTTTTATTCTTTTAAAAAGAGTCCATTGCAGCCACGTTGTGCGATGACTAATATTGATAAACTTAACCCTTCCCAGCAACTCAAGGATCTAAAACATCTCCAAAGGCCCTGTGATGGAAAATGCTATCCACATCCAAAGAAAGAACTATGGAGTTTGAATGCAGATCGAAGCATACTATTTGCTAGTTTTTTTTCTTCTGTTTTGTTTTGTTTCCTCTTTCTGGTGGTTCCTCCTATTGGTTCTAATTCTGCCTTACAACATCACTAATGTGAAAATACGTTTAATAGGAATGTATATGTAGAGCCTATATCAGATTGTGCGCTGTCTTGGGGAAGGGGAGAAAAATTTTAAACTCAAAAGCATATGGAAATGATTGTTGATAAATCAAAATAAATTAATTAAAAAAGAGTCCATTGGAAAATGAGAATGTACATACATGGAGCAAGCAGAACATTTCTTTTCTCAAGTGACCCTGGGCTTCTGAAAAAGCTATCCCAAAGGACCGTGAGCCGGGGCAAAGCCTGCACCAAGCTGGAGAGCTGTCAAGCACAGAAGCTCAAATGCACTGTCTCCTTTCTAGGAACAAAGGTTTTAGTTTTTTTTTTTTTTTTGAGGGGGGGCACGCAGCAGCCCGTGAAGAGCATCCAATACAGTGAAGAGGGGCAATGATCAGCATCAGTGGGGGAACCAGCCTCACAGATGAGAGAACAAAAACTTAAAGGATTAGATGGAAATTTAGCTAGTGCAAAAGAATGCCAAAAAGAGTCTGATCTTGTCCTGGCCAAATGTTTCTTTTTTACTGTACCATTTTCAGTTCTTTTCCCCAAAAACCATTCCAGCCATGAAGTGCCCCAATCCTTTTTACTTTAGTTATTTTATTTTATTTTTAAAAAATGCATTTTATTTCTTTAAATTTAATTTATTCACCATTAAATTTATTATTTATTACATTATTTTATCATTGCATAATTATTTTGTTATTTATTTATTAAATTTATTATTGTTTTTACATTGCCCAAGGTACTCCTCCCTCCCTTTTTCACAGACAGCCACCCCATATAACAAAGAATATTACTTTAATCACTTAATTTCAGGCACAGAACTACAGATGTGGCTGAAATTCGGAGAGCCCAGGGACAGGTCAGAAAGAAGGAAAACATATGAGAATAAAATGCGCCAACACCTTCAGGAAGCTGATACCCAATGGAAGCCTTCAAAAGAAGTAGAAACATTTCTATTTTTTTCCCCCTTTCTTAGGCAATTGGGGTTAAGTGACTTGCCCAGGGTCACACAGCTAGTAAGGGTCAAGTGTTTGGTCTGAGGCTGCATTTGAACTCAGGTCCTCCTGACTTTAGGGCTGGTGCTCTATCCACTGTGCCACCTAGCTGCCCCAGTAGAAACATTTCTAAAGACAGACTAGACTCTTTCACAGTCGCCAAGATGAAAGACTGCTAAGTAAAATTACTGCTTTACTTAGCAAGCAACCTTTGGTATATAGGTCTTCTAAAGTTCAACAAGCTACCACACCTTGCCAAAGGATATTGCTCACTGCTCTTCTTGGGGACGTAGGAACAATTGAAAGAGCCCTTAGAGATCATCTAGTTGCAACTTCTCATTTTACAGATGGAGAAACTAAGGCCCAGAGAGGGGAAGTGACTTGGTTAAGGATAAACTGGTAGTAAGTGGCAAAGCTGTGGTCTTCTGACCCCTAATGCAATGCTCTTTCCCCCTATACCTCACTGGTTTGCAGGATTTTAGCATCAGAAGGCACCTTAGCAACACTCTGCCTTAGTTACACCGAATAAAGAACATAGCATTCAGTTCTGGGGGCTACATTTTAGCACGCATATTGAGAAGCTAGAGAAGGGCAACCAGGGTGCTAAAGGGCTTTGAGCTCAAGTCCCATGAGGCCTGGTTGAAAGAAATGAGGACAATTAGTTGGGAGAAGATAAGACGTAGGAGTGGGAGGGACAGAAGGCCCATGAAAGCCATTTTCAAGTATTTAAATTGCTGTCATGTGATATCTGATTAGAATAATTCTGCTTGGCTGCACAGTGCAAAAGGAGGCACTATGGCGAGAAGTTTCAGAGAGAGACATTTTTGTTCAATATTGAGAAAAAAAAATTCCTTAACATCCAAGCTGTCCCAAAGTGGAGTATGGACTTCTAGCCAGACGACTGGGTCAGTGGTAGTGTCACTGGATTATCTCAAGAAAAGCAAGAAAGTTACCAAAAGAAAATCACCAGGACAAAAAAGAAGGCAAAGCGAAGAAATTCTCACAAGGAACATTTGGTGAGAAACCAGCAGAGAACTGAGAAATGAGCCAACAAAAAAGAGGTCCTAATACACTGAGAAAATACTAGGGGATAAAAGAAAGAGAAGACAAAAGCGCCAAATGAAAGGAACAATTCTGCAACGTAGACTAAAGCCCTTCAGTAGATGGCTTTTTAACCTTTTTTGGGTCCTGGACCCTGTTGGCAGTCACTCTGGTGAAGCCTAGGATCTCCTTTTCAGAATACAGTTTTTAAAAGCATACAATAAAATACTCAAGACTACAAAGGAAACCAATGATATTGAAATATGGCGATCAGAATACTTTAAAGAAAACCCAAGTTCCAAGTTAAAACTTGCTACTCTAGAAAGAGAATGAAACAACTGTAAATCTCTACAGAGCAGCACTTAATTTCAAATTAAAGACAGGAAAAATTTTAAAAAGGAAGAGAAATAAAGATAAATTCTAATTCTGACAGAGAATTTTTTTAAAAAGAGAATTATAAAAGATAAAAGTGGAATGGGCTGCCTCAGAAGGTAGTGAGTTCCTCTTCTCTCGAGGTGATTCTTGTTCAGGCTCAGAGACCGAATGGCCTCTATAGAAGGGCCATGGACCTGGTGGTCTTTGTAGAAGGGCCTTGAATCTGATGGCCTCTGTAGAAAGGCCTTGGACCTAATGTCCTCTGTAGGGATGCCTTGAACCTGATGACCTCTGTAGGAGGGTCTTGGACCTAATGACCCCTGAAGGACTTTGGACCTGATGGCCTCAGTGGGGAAGCCCTAGACCAAATGTCCTCTATGGAAAGTCCTTGAACTTGGAGGACCTTGGACTTAAAGGCCTCTGTAGGGATGCCTAGAACATGATGGACTCTGTAGGAGGGCCTTGGACCTACTGGCCCCTGAAGGAGGTCTTTGGTCCTGATGTCCTCTGTAGGGGGGGAATTGCACCTAACGGCCTCTGTAGAAAGGCCTTGAACTTGGAGGACCTTGGACCTAATGGCCCCTGAAAGAGGACTTTGGACCTGACGGTCGCTGTATGGGGGGCCTTGGACCTAATGGCTTCTGTAGAATGGTCGTGGACCTGATGGCCTCTGCAGGGGTGCCTTGAACCTGATGGCCTCTGTAGAAAGGTCTTGAACTTGGAGGACCTTGGATCTAATGGCCTCTGTATGGGTGCCTTGATACTGATGGCCTCTGCAGGAGGGCCTAGAACCTAATGGGCCCTGAAGGAGGACTTTGGACCTGATAGTCTCTGTATGGGGGGCCTTGGACGTAATGGCCTCTGTAGAACGGCCGTGGACCTGATGGCCTCTGCAGGGGATCCTTGGACCTGATGGGCTGTAGAAAGGCCTTGAACTTGGAGGACCTTGGACTTAATGGCCTATGTAGAAAGGCCTTGAACTTGGAGGACCTTGGAATTAATGGACACCGTAGGGGTGCCTTGAACCTGGGCTCCGTTTGGGGGACCGTGGACCTAATGGCCTCTGTAGAAGGGCCGTGGACCTGATGGCCTCTGCAGGGGATCCTTGGATCTGATGGCCTTTGTAGAAAGGCATTGAACTTGGAGGACCTTGGACCTAAAGGACTCTTTAGGGGTGCCTTGAACCTGATGGCCTCTGTAGGAGGGCCTTGAACGTAATGGTGTCTGTAGGGGGGCCTTGGACCTAATGGCCTCCGTAGGGTTTCCTTGGACCTGATGGCCTCTGTAGAAGGGCCTTGAACCTACTGGCCCCTGAAGGAGGACTTTGGACCCGATGGCCTCTGTGGAAAGGCCTTGAACTTGGAGGACCTTGTACCTAATGGGCTCTGTAGGGATGCCTTGAACCTGATGGCCTCTATAGGGGGGCCTTGGACCTAATGGCCTTCGTAGGGTTTCCTTGGTCCTGATGGCCTCTGTAGGAGGGCCTTGGACCAACTGGCCCCTGGAGGAGGACTTTGGACCTGATGTCCTCTGTAGGGGGGCACTTGCACCTAATGGCCTCTGTAGAAAGGCCTTGAACTGGAAGGACCTTGGACCTAATGGCCCCTGAAGGAGGACTTTGGACCTGACGGTCGCTGTATGGGGTCCTTGGACCTAATGGCT